GGGAGGAATGTCCAATATGATAATTAAATACTAATAACTCTATGGTAAAAAATTTACTGAAGTCTGTTAGTCTCTTATGCATACATATCAAGACATAATTTGTAGGTGATACAATGGTTTGGCTGAGTATCTGGAAGGCTGTGAGCTATTCCTCCAAGCGTGGTCCAGTTGTGTGTAAGAAAGCAACCGTCTCACCTTCTCTACTCTCTGACCAAAGACTTAATTCTCTCACTTCACTGTAACTCTTGAGAGGGGCATGTATTTCCTTGATATTGCAAATCTTTGTAAGACATACCAGTCACACAGCTGCACCCTGCAGTTAAAATCACCTCTTGACTGAAGGTGGCAGACACCAATGGCAGAAGTTGTATTTTTACTGTTTCTTTAGGCCCAAGAAAAGGGAAACAATCAAAGCAGCTAGATATGGTGTATGCCATCAACAGTACACATTATAAGAAAGAAGTGCATTCATACAATATCACTTCAAGAGTGACATGTTATCACAACGAAGGCAAAGTTGACAACATATGCCCATTTGAGCTAGGAGGCACCAAGGACAAGACCACTGCAAACTCCATAAAGGTCTCCTGCCTTGAGATTTCAGTGGTGGAGTTGGCAGGAGGCGGGGGAGAGTGCTGTGAAGCAGCTATTGCATGATCCAGGGGCTGTGGAAAGCAGATGTCCACATGGATAGATGGAGGGAGAGAAGGTGGAAGCACGAGTTATTGTGCATTTTACATTCCTAAAAACCATCATATACAGTATCAGCACCTAATCATGATATCATGGCCTACAACAAATAGCCACGTGCAGGACACCATACTGCCAATCCTCTGCCTTCCCACCCTAAAGGATCTTCCCAAGTTTATGGTGAACTTTGTTCAGCAAAATGGCCCAATCTAAGCGCCCTGCAGACACCGCTAATACAAAAACTTATTTAAAACATATAGGTTGATAAGTTCTGTTGCAACAGAGCAAACTTTGAAGACAAAGCTTTATGTCAGGCATTTTTTCCTCGTGGATTGAGATTTTTTGAAAATACTGTTCAACAAAAGTAGGATTTTTTTACTTTATTTATGACTTTACATGTGTCACTGGAAAGAGACAAAACCCAAGAGAACAGTTCGATAAAGAGACACAGCTTTCAGTGAGAAGAAAGTTTTTTAATCTCCAGCAATTATAGCATGGTAAAAGAACTGATACATCCTATCACATGCAGTTGTTACTACGAAGACTTACAGGTTGCTTTATTGGGTGCAGAAATTTCTTTTATCTAGATCAGCCATTAACTGCAGTCATTGACAGTAACAAAAACTAGCTTGCCACAGTATTTTAGAGAGCTATGATTGCTCCGAATGACAGCTTTATTAGCTTTCACATGCTTCTGTAGGGAAGCGAAAATCCAAGCTGAAACCCCAGGCTTCTTTCTCCTTCTGAGATACTCCAGCCAGGCAAATGTAAAACTTTAATGCAGTTAGTTACTAGCATTCTAAAAATAAATTAACATCGGCACGTGCGCCACATTGACAATATCACACTGTCAGAACTAAAGCAAACAGAGTTGATAAGTCTACTAACTAATTACTGCTTATTAAGCTTGGACATGTCTTCCCAAAAAGCCAGATAAGCTTCTCAGCTCTACAAAGTCACCAAAGACCTAATGACATTTTTTTGCAAGAATGGTGGTTTGGCAGAGTACCCTAGTTAGATCTTCCTCAGGCGATTTGGTGGGTATAAGGAAACACAGACATCCACCCTTCTGCTGATACTGCACTGATGCAGTAATGCTGCTTTATGCAGCAAATAAGGAAGGTGACAGTAGAAGACAAAGTAACAATGATTTGTGTGCTGTGGGTATTACGAGAAAGGTGTTTTCAGAAAGAATGCAGAAAGTGAAATTCACCCCTAAGCAAAGGGTCAGCACAAAGCAAAGGACCTCAAAACTAGCTCAAAGTGGTGCTTAAGTAATTGACGGGCTCCATGCCAGTCTTGTAGGTAAAGATTAATTTCACCCTCAAACTAAGGAAGGTGCATTTAAGAGCGCCAAATATGAACAAAAAACCATCAGGTCAGCAACATATGCAGCAAAGCAAAGGAGCGGCAAGTTGCAAGGAGACTAGGTCAAGTTGGGAGGGAAGGACAATTAATATAGAAGTCAGCATATTTTATTGCCTGGCAACTCAAGAGCCAACAAGGAAACCATAAAAGATATAAAAGAGGCAATGCATTGGGCAAAGTGTTTTAGGAAGAGCCTTTTGTACAATTGAGTTAGTTCACTTTTCTAAAGGGAGAACCTCGTGAGAGCAAAAGTCATAAGACCAAGGAATAAGGAGCAGTTCCCACTCAAGATAGCAAAACCAGCTTTCTCGAATCAGGGATCTTAACTATCCAGAAATGGACAAACCAACCAACCTTGAATGATTCTGTTCATTTGAAAAGCATCAAAATGCAGTTTCCCTTTCAAAAATATATTCTTATTACATTTGGATGTTTGAAAGACATACTGTAACAAAATGCCTTATCCAACTATCCAAAGTTATGTATTAACTAAGCATTAGCTTAGGTTTTAAATGTCAAAATGAGTATTTCCAATGCGGTGGTATGCTGGTGGCATAATCCATTTTTCAAAACAGGAACATCTGTAGGATTTACTCTCTCTTAGCCTCTCCCAGTAAGGCAGCACGTGCTGCTGTGATGGAACTGCCCCGGTCGGGACTGTCATTGCACCTGGGCTCACTCATCATCCATATCAGTCTTACGCACTAGGTATCTTAGGGACGGTCTTAAGCAGACCTTGTTATTTCAAAGGATGCAGGTTGCTACTGTAGCATTAGCACAGCAAGACACTGCTGACTATGAAATGAAGTTTCTCTCCAGGCAAAAAAAGTTTTTTGAAGGAAACATCTTTCTATTAAATTTGTAAGAGAATTTATTATGCTTACCTTTTCTCACTAGCTTCCTAAGGAAGCAATGAAGTGTTTCTTTGCAATTATTCCATTAAGAAAACCAAGACAAATTAAAAAGGATTATCTGCTTTGGTACTGTAGTGAAGCTCTGAAAGCAGTGCCTCCCTCCAGATTTTGGGGTCTGGATTTTATTCCTTGTACACCCAGATTTCCCTCTTAAGTGGACCCAGCAAAATCTTTGGTGTTTGATGAACAGCAAAAAGCCTGTACTTTCTTTTAGTTACACCGTGTTACTAGGGAGATGGTGTAAATATAAATACAATCATAATCATCGTTTTTCTAATTTATGTACACTGCAATATGAAAAACTCAAGTATACGAATCAGATCACTGGAATAATGACAAGAGCATAAAGTGCTGCAAGACTGATTTACAACACTGTGTAAAAATAAGTAACTAAAATACATACACATTACATAATGAAGAAGTTCTCTTTGTCAAAATTAAACATGTTGAAAGTTAAAATTATGGCAAAATTACACAACTGATCCTTGTTAAGCAAGCAATGGTATACCTTGTTCAAACAACCATGCTATGTCAGCCAGCCCTCCTCAAACTGCAGCAATATGCTGAGTTGGAAAGAAGACACCCTGCACTTTGCATGTCAACTCAGCCTTTAGAAAGAGCTCACAATGGCTTGTAGCGAAGTGTGCATTTACTGTATTCTTCTTAGTCTCTAGAAACGGTGGTATTCAGTTTTTCCTAGAACAGACATTTTCTTTGTGCTGAAAGAGATTCGCTTTATTAATCATAGGTATGCTTTCTAGTAGTGATTTTGTGATACTTGCTAATGGTGATTTTTGTAGTGTTTGTGGTAATCTGGAATAAACTAGAGAAATTCAGAGGATAAAGCCTCTGTCTTCTTATGTATTACAGCATCACATGAACCCACAGTTGCAATCTCTACACCCCCGCGGGTCGAGTAACCTTTTAGGTTGTGACAACTGCTTACTAAAATCATTCTCATATTTCATACCACAGACATGAACGGAAGCAAAGGCAGAAAACAGAATATCAGATCATGACTACAGAGCATATTAATGGATGAAGTACACACAAAGTGTAAGTGTTCAAGGAGGCAGGGAGAGATTGCACATTACATGCTGCTCTGGTCCGTTTGGAGGACTGGTGCACACACTTCCTCTGGGGCTGACTACTGCTCAATAGCTGAGAACAGCTCTGATGTCCCCTCTCCGCATAGGCACATCATCAGTCCTGCTGGCACCAAGTTGCCTGGCACCTGGGACAGCCTCAAGAATTATAACCATAAAAATGCTGAGAACTTTTTTTAATAGCTACTTTAACTTACAAAGCACCAGAAACATTTAGGATACACTTGCTCATGTCAAATTTTTGTCCCAAACGAGGAAGATAAGATTACATGAACACACTGAGACCACACATTCCCCTAATTTCACCTCTCAGAATTACACAAATACGGCCCGACTTCCACAAAAGCTCTGAGAACTAGTCACACTGTAAAAACAATTTGCACCATAAATACATATTACTGTCTATGGCAAGGTTAATAGACCTATGCCTGGGCATTTAGAAGCTATCAACACCCTTCTCTACTTAAATCACCAGAAACACAGCATTGATGGGAAACTCCACTGAAACTTCTTTCCACAGTACATCAGACAAAGAATGGGCAAAAAATAGCATTTATAAAACATTAATGGATTTTGTTTGTTAATAAAAAGCAAGCTCTGCCAGATGCATTTAAACAAGGATGATGCAGAAATTGAGATTAATACTTTGGTAAGCCTTACTGCCAGCTTAATGCCTATAATGAAAAGTAATAAAGTGAACTAGGCATGTTGCTATACCCATTTTTTTTACCCCATTTAAATATTGATAAGAACTTAGATTCCTTACCAATGCCAGTAGCAATTCCTTTTATGAATGCAAATTAAATTTTAATTTCTAGTCTTTGTGAACGTAAGTTTTATGCCTGTGCTTTACATTATACCTATACAAGACTTCAAACAAATCTGTGATGTGTTATGAAAGCATAATAATATAAGTGCCTACCTTTTTCAGGAACCGTACTCCATAGGTAAATATATAAAGGTAAAATGTAAATCTCCACCTGCAAAAGGTACAAGAGATTAACTCTAGGATACCAGGTTTACATACTTCACAGTTCAACACAATTTCTTATAGCATTCCCAAACCACCACACTCTGGTCACATTAACAGAAGTTGAAGCAAAATTTTGGTCTGGTTGTCTACAACTTGTTATCAAGCATTGTGCTCATCTGCCTGCTTTTCCCAGTCTCCCATTAGCCCTCTGAAAACAGTGGTTAATTTCACCTAAACATGACAGGAAAGAACAAATTTTCAAGGATAAGTAAGCTTTCATAAGTTTCATGAAAACTAGCAGGACCGTAGAGGACAGAGGACAATTCGCACGCCTACTGCAGGGAAGTTCACTTGTTATTAGGCACCAGGACAATAAGAAATTATATTAAGCCTTCAACAGGTGACCTCAGAGTGCTGCACATTAAATAGTTTGCATTACTAAAGGCTATATCATCCACAATAAGCTGGAAATTCGCTTAGCAGATTTCAGCACTTCACTCTTGGTTTTGAGGAGTACATTTGTGTCAGATATATATAATCTGCATACAGATATATCTCCACAATTAATGTCCGCTTCCAAAAGTTTCCTTGACATAGATGATTCTACATTTTCCCAAGTACACCTGAAATAATTGCTGGGCTTCTAGTTTTTCTTTTCAGATAGGGGTAAACTAGAAGCTAGGATCAAGATGCCATGGAAAATAACAAAAAAAAAGACAGCAGGAGATTTAATACCAAAATCAGCCTCTCCTCTATGTCTTTCTCCCTTCCCCAATAAAAGAAGACATACATAGTATCTTCCTATCTTTTATACCCATTACTGGCTTAGGAAAGAAGAGTCAATGGAACTATAAGGAAATAAAATCAAAACCTCATGCAGTGTAAATTCTTAGAGGAATTCCTGTTTTTTTTTCCAAGGGTTGGAGTGACTACACAAACATGCTTGACAAACACCAGTGAGGTACTATTCATAACGTTTATAGCAGGGTAAGATTTAGCTTCCTTAGCGTGAGGCAATACTGCAGTGTGAATCACCTTCAATTACATATTTTACAGCTCTTACAACTTTCTCTCCACTAGCAAAACTATTAGCTTACAGTTAATTGGCACTGAAGCGTGCTCAGACATTACTGGAATGCTTTCAAAACTGAAAATGCTCCTATGTAAAAGAAGGTTAATCCAAACCTTCCTCTTCAAAGCTACTTTTACAAGTATGTAGAAAGAAAGTTCTGTCATACATAAATAACCCTCTGACAGGTTGAGTACAGGAGAGTGTAAGAACATCAATGAGATTTAAAGCATGATACTTCAGCTGAACAGAAACTCCCTCTTATCCTGCAGCCTCCACAGCACTGCAGAGATTGATTTATTCAATTGATACGATACAAATACCAATCCCTTCAAGGGTTCAGTCACACTAGCAACACAGCTCGCAGCTTTCATGCTTGCGGTTTCCTCAAGATACTGCAAAAATAGAGTTCTTGGAGGCAAAATATTTGTTGTGCTGGTAGACATCTTCAGATCATGCACATGGAAGAAACAGCAAGGACAGCAATATGAAGGAAGGTTTTATTTAGGTAACAATTTTCTCATGAGGCCAGTCCTACAGCTAGGAAACCTGCCATTTAACTTCAAGGTTACATACCTCATTTACTGAAAGTTTGAAGGCTGTCACTGAAAATAAAAATACTAGGAGGGAAAAACTGTCTAACCTAATCTCGCCACTGAGCACTCCCAGTGCCCTTCTTTGACTCCTGAGTGTGAGTAGTTATGATAAATTCCTCACAAAGAATTTTCTTGTTTTAAAAATCCCCTCAATATCACCTCTATTTCAGATTTCTCCAAGCAAAATTCATAACGTATTTGAGGACATTTGTAGCTTGCTGTTGGGAGATGCAATATTCCACAGAGGAGTTCAAAGGCAGTCTAAAGTATCTGAAATATGTTAATGGTTAAGTTTTAGATGGTGGGTCTCAGGGATTCTCCAGTCTGCATGGGGATCTGTAAGATTCTGGTTGCAACATTTGCTGCAGCTATCACCTCAGGGGAAATAAAAAGGCCCTTTCCCGAAACACGCAAATTCAGAAACACCAATTTCCCCATCTAGCTTTCCACCCACCTGGCAAACTGCTGCCAGTGCTGTAGATCTATGCTAAAGCCATGGATTGCCCTGTAGGAAAATTCCTGGAGCTTCAGAAAAACCTCAGAGCCAAGAGCCATCAGGTATTATGCAGGTCTGCCAAAGACAACCAACTTGCTCCAACTGTTCAAATGCTACAAAGGTGATACATGCACACAAGTACATGAGAATATATGCTATTGGTCATCTTTTCTCTTTTTCCCTAACCTGCCAAACAAGTCTACTTGGGTTGAGCATCAGAAAATAAAGCAAGGCTCAGAATTGGGTGACGGACAAAGCTAGTCAAATTGTTAACTTCTTTTAAAAAAAAGTAATATTGGTATAAAAAATTTGCTCAAAAAAAAAACATCCACAAAAGCTACTCAACAAACTTCTGGCTTGGTCAAACTGCAATAAAGAAAAAGCCAAAACAAAGCAAAATCAGAATTGGCCCCCAGCATGTTTATCATCATTAATCAGCTAACTTAGGAGGCCATAGATCTACAAAGGACTTTCCACTGCTCTGTACCAGGCAGCTAGCTGCCTTTTCTGTGGGCTTCAAAGGGAAATTCTGCCAGCTCAATACCCCAGTTGGAATCTTAATCCCATACAAAGAAGTCCAAGGAGTTTCCCCCATTGTTTTACTGCTATTTACAGATGATTTATTGCTGCAATTAACAGCAAAACATCCACTTGCCAAGGTCAAATAGATGAACACAAGAAGGTTTGGAAGACAATTAATTTTAAGTCATTAAAGTATTTATTATTATACAGTAAGTGAATATATCTGGTCTAACTAGCTAAGTAACTATGTTCAACATTTTAGTAAATGTTGCACATGAACTGCTAACACCAATGACCTTAACAACTGCAGATATTTCATTTGTAACTCTCTTTTTAAAATAAAATAAAAAAAAGACAAAGACATAACTAGATGCTTGTTACCTACAAATTAACATATATTGAGATCTATAAAATTCACATTAAACTAAATCAACAGTTAAGACCATTTACAGAGTGAGTGACATTTATGAGGCATTACAGTCAGAAGAAATATACATATAACAAATGGTCAAAATTAACAGATTTTGTTCCCATCAGCCTCAGTGGTAGAGTGAAAAAAGCAAGGAGTCTATCTGTAACTGTCAGCTATGTGCTATCAGAAATGTAATGGTTGATACACCAATAATCCTTTGCACAAGGTCACACATAGATCACTATGCCTCTGAACACATCGGGAATTGAATTAGCACCCGGTTCTCTGCCCAGTTTCCTACCTTGCTGCAGCGAGCCCATAACCTAAAACCCTGTTGATATTTTATTGGCGTATGAGCAGACCTCATTCCCCCTCAGCCGCCCCTTTTACTTGGTGGCCTAGCAGTAAGAACATCTGCCAGGCTTTGGAAAACCTAGCTTCAATTTTCTCTTCTGTCACATCTCTCACACACTCCTGAAGGGTTTGTTAGCCACAAAGCTGTCATGTGTAGGACCATCTCTTATTGTGAAGCTGTTTTATGTAGCAGAAAATACTCCATGACTTGGGACAAAGGACAGGGAGGAAAGGGACAGGAACTAGGTTGTGAAGTTGCATTATTCACTCAAAATCATACAGACAAGGCCAGAAGTTATGACAGATATGTTTAATGCAATGCAGATTTGTCCAGCAAGATTCCTCCAAAGGTGAACTCTCAATTCTCTTGCCACAAGAACTCTAATGAAATCCAACATTCACAATCTACAGTATATACTTCTTTATCCCTCTATTTGAGTCTCACTGCATCCCACTGATGAAGAGATGCAAGTGGAGGGAAACAGTTAAAAGTATGAATTACGCCCACTCACAGTAATAGCCCAGTGTCCAAACCACCTTAGTATTTTGGGAACTTAGGCAAAATGTGCTTTCTCTCTGCACAGGACATCATAGAAGAGAAGGACACCTTTTTTAAGTGTGAGGTGACCAAGTTTCACTCCCAACTGAATTCACAAAGTGGTAGCTGATTAAGAGAGGACTTTAATTTGTCCTACGTAATAGTCCCAACTCTCATGGCTGGAAAAAGCCCTTAGCCTGAGCACAGTCTGAATAGTCACAGACCCCAGGGAAGGGAAGATATCTGGCCAGTGGCATTAACCCTTTCTAATAGCTTTCCTGATATCCTGCTCAAGGTCCTTCTTAAGCATCAGCAGCTCAGGCTGAAGGTCCCCAGGCCACTAGGGACAGCTGTCATTTGGGTCGCAGCTCGTTGTCTGTAGCAGGGAAAGTAACAAACTCTTCTAAAGCAGCAGCAGCAGAACCCAACAGACTAGGAAAAGCAAAGCAAGATCTGTACTAAGATATCTTTTGTTCCCCTCTCCCCCCAGCAATACTTATTGCCCTATTAAAGCAATACAATGGAGGCCACTAGGTGAAGCACCCCATTGTGGGCGACCACCACATCAATTCACATTTAACTGAAAGATGATGACAGCTAAAGCTGCTCTGTTTTGTGAGAATTTGCTCCGGCCCTCAGACTTGAAACACTCCTCCAGCCAGTTACAGAGAGACATAAAATTTGAATGACCCACATACACACAAAGCGTGCTGCTTCAAAGACTTTTTAGGTTAATTTAAATCCAGCAAACCCAAATGAAAGTGTTCAAGAAACAAGTGTTCTGGAAGACTTGATCTGTCTGCTTGCAATAGGGTTTATGAGATTATCTTTAGGCCTGCACTAACATGCCTACAAGACTTCCAGATTGAACCAGGCTTGCGTCTGGTCTGCTCGAGCTCAGAATGAGGGAGATCAAACCTGTTTACACATAGCCCTTCTAGCAAATCCTTCAGGTTGTGCTGGTGCTTACCAGGCCAGTGTTTCAAATATGGATGTGACACACTGCAGCAAAGAGTCAAG